GAATGCAGTCAGCCCTGGAATGAGCAGTTGTGACAGAGACTATATGGCCTACGGTCTCAAATATTTACTATCTGGCCTTTTACAGAAAAAAGTTTGCTGAGCCCTGGGCTAGGGTATTAAATAACATTAGTGAATTGGTGATATTTTCTTAGGTATAATGATGATACTGTGGTTATGAAACAGGATGTCCTTGCTCTGAAGAGATGAATGCTAAAGGATGTAAGGGCAACGTTCTACAAAGACAGCAGCTTAGAAGGTGGCTCAGCAAACCAAAATGAAACCAAACCCGTTGCCATCCAGTCGATTCCGACTCATAGCTACCCTACAGGACAGAGTAGAAATACCCCATAGGGTTTCCAAGGAGCGGCTGGTAGATTCGAACTGCCACCCTTTTGGTTAGCAGCCGAACTCTTAACCACTGCGCCACTAGGGCTTGGCAAAGGATAACTAAGAAAAAAAAAGAGAGAGACAGAAATAAAGTTAATATGACAAACTGTCAACCACTGTTGAATCTAAGCGATGGAGATATGGGTGTTCTGTGTACTACTCTTTCAACGATCATGTACATTTGAAATTTTTCATAATGGAAAGTTGGAAAACCAATTCACCTAGGTTTATGTCTCCCTTCTTTTTGCAGGCTATCGTAAATACCGTCTTTATATGGAACAGCATTTTTTAGCAAAGTACACAGCACAACAAAATTCTACTAGAACAGCGACATGTGCAAAGCCCGGAAGTCCATTCTAATTAGCTTTTACCTTTTTAGGTCGTTCCTTGTTTCAGCAACTGCAAGATAAGACAACCCATTCTTCTGCTTCTGGATTTTATTGTACTTACCAGTGTTTGTGAATGCATATAATGAGGAAGAGAAAGGTTGTATAATGAATAGCTCTTTTACTAAAATATATATATATTTTTACCTACAGCACCCAACATAGAAATAATTCTCCTTTAAATTATCGATAGTTTTTTGAGTGTAAAAATAATTTACGTTTACTGCAAAGAATATCATGTTTCAAATGTTTTAAGAGAATACACTGTAGGTTACCTATCCCGGTTTCTTTGCTATTTCATACTTTATACTGAAAAAAACCCATTGCCGTCAAGTCGATTCTGACTCACAGTGACCCTGTACGACAGAGGAGAACTGCCCCATAGTTTCCAAGGAGCAGCTGGTGGATGTGAACTGCCGACCTTTTGGTTAGCAGCCATAGCACTTAACCACTATACTTAGTTATTCTAATTTTCTGGGAATCCAGAGCATTTCCTGAACTGCATACTCGGAAACTGAAACAGCTTCCACCTTAACATGGTGGCAGGAAATGGCAAAAGTGGCAAATAACAATACCCTGAGGCCCAGGGATGGACCAGGTCTGCTATGAAACTGAGAAAGTCATTGCTTCACTAGGTCTCAGTTTCCTTATGTGTAAAGAGGGAGTAACAACTATTCTTCCTGGGGTGGAAGAGAGAGGAAGGAGGGTTGAAAGGGTCCAATGATTAGTGCAAGTCTTGGAAACGTAAACCCTAGACCAGGGGTTGACAAACTACAGTCCACCAGCCAAAGTGAGCAGCTGTTTGTTTCTGTCAATAAAGTTTTACTGGAACATGGGCCATGCCCGTTCATTTACATATGGTCTATGGCTGCTTTTGCAGAGTTTAGTAGTTACTACAGATTATATGCTCCACAAAGACGAAAATTTACTATTCGGCCCTTTACAAAAACAGGAATTTCCGATTCCAAACAATTATGGATTTTTAACAGCCCACAAGTGGGAGATCACTGGATCTCACAGCCAAAAGAGGTCCTTGGAAACTTGCTTCCCACTCCCGGATTTTGCTTTTACAGGCAACGACAGGTTTCAGCTAAGATCAACATCTTTGCAAACACCATATGGAATAGGTAATATGCCCATTTAAAGGGGCAGATGCTCAGGCTCAGAGAGGTTAAGTGACTTGCTCAAGGCCACACAGCTGTCAAAAAAGTGAAGCCGAGACTCAGGTAGGTCTGTTTAACCCAGAAACCTATATTCTTAAGATCAGGCTACATGACACAGCTCGTGGGTGACAGGAGGAGAGTGCATAATTGGTAAGAGGGCCTGAAAACGAAAACCAAACCAAACCCGTTGCTGTCGAGTCGATTCCAACTCATAGCGACCCTATAGGGCAGAGAAGAACTGCTCCACAGGGTTTCCAAGCCATCAGTACCCAGGGCTGGCGACGAAAGTCCAGAACTGCACTTCCCAACCCAGTGCAAGCTTTCTACCCTGAAGGGTTTTTCGGTCCCGTCCTATCTCTTCGAGCACCCTGAGGTCTTGCAGAGCTGGTTAGGGCTTACTTCGCATCTTTCCAGGCACCCAAAACACAGTTCAGCACCCCAGGAAAAGTAGGCAGTCATTAACCGACTTTGAGTGGTCCTTAGCCGCCCTCGGTGCCCACCCAGGGCGGTCGTTAGTCCAGTCAGAACGCATCAGGGGGCCCCGCACCGGCTGCCGCCAGCCCGATGGGTACCGCCTACCTGACGCGGGGCCGTCAGAGTCCCGTCCACATCGAAGAGGCACAGTGCTGTATCAGCAGCCGCCATCTGTCCTGTTCCGTCGGCACCTGACATGACTCGTTGGCACCCGGAACTTGGCCGGAACTTCCGGGTTCGGCACCCGCGCCGCAGGGCACGCCGGGACGGGGAGAATCGGCTCCCACGATACCTGAGACTCGCATCAGCCACTGGCTCTGAACCACAACTCCCAGAATGCAACACAACCTTACACGTTTCCGTAGTATGAGCATGCGCTCTTAGAGGTTCCTGGGGCAGGCAGGATTCACTTCCGGCAGCGGGTTGTGGGGCTATGGTAAGAAGGCGGGTGGTGGGAATTTAGGGAGGTGTCACGCTTTCGGGGTCGGTGTCAGGGTTTGGGGCAGGCATGCAGGGCGCTTGGGTTTCTGAGTCTGAGAGTCCGCGGGAGGAAGCTCCGGCATGGGTTACGCTTTGCTGTTCCCTGTGTCCTGAAGTCACGTGGACCACTGAATGGGATAGCTAAAACTGAGCGTTCACCGTGCATCACACACTGTTGAGGGTTTTAAAACCATAGTCTCATTCAGTATGCTCTGACTCCCCATTTTGAAAAATGAAACTGAGGCTCAGAGAGGTTGAGTAACTTGCCCAAGGATACACAGCTAGTGACCACTGGGGCCAGGATTGAAACCCGGATCTGGTTCCAAAGCCCAGAGCTCTTTCCACGGCACAAGGCTGTAGAACTGTGCACCTAATGCAGTCTTTGTGCTGCGTGTTGGGGCCTCCCTCTCCCTCCTTTGCTCTTTGCCCTTCCCCGAACTAGGCTAAGAGAAAACAGCAGTTCCGTCCAGCACCCAAGCTAACTCAAACCTGACAGATAAAGTGATAGCTATCTCGCGGATTTTTTTCTAGTCCCCCACTAAGACACTGATTGCTTAGTTTCCTGCTTGGGGAAATGTTCGCACAGAGTTGTGGATCCAATGCCCAGCCCTGAGTTGGCTCTCTCTGGGTATTTGTTGAATGAATGAATGCTGGACCTTCTTTTCTGTACCTACTTGGAACAGTTTAAGGGTCAGACTCCCTCCCAGTCACACTCACTGTGTGTCCTTGGGCAAATTTCTTACCCTCTCTGGCCTTAGTTTCCTCAGTGGTAAAGTGGAAGTAATGGCACCTATCTCATAGTTGTCGTGAAGATCTGGCTTTAACTTTCCCTCTGTCGCTGGTGATCCTGGCGACCTCCCACAATTGTTGGGAGCCTCCATGGGACCTGCTTTGTTTGTTTGTTTTGTGATTAGCATGGTTGAGTTCCATGATAGAAACGGTTTCCCATCTCTCTTCCAGGCTGCCCTCCTCCGAGCTGTGCCCCGGTGGCGGGGGCCGGCTGCCTGGGGGAGGCCGCGCCATGGGCTGTGGTGCTGCAGTGAGCAGGATCCCAGCAGGTGGGTGGCAAGCAGGCCACCCACCATGAAGGAGACGCCATCAGGCACAGAGACAGAGAAATTCCAGATGGTCTACCGGTTTGACGCCATCAGAGCCTTTGGGTTCCTGTCTCGGCTGAAGGTGGCGCAGACGGCCCTGACAGTGGTGGCCCTGCCGCCAGGCTTCTACTGGTACTCCCAGGGCCTCATGACTCTCAACTCCCTGTGCCTCATGGGCGGGGTAGCTGGCTTCGCCTTTGCCATGCTGTGCTGGATGAGCCATTTCTTCCGGAGGCTGGTGGGCATCCTGTACGTTAATGAGTTGGGCACCATGCTGCAGGTGGCCCACCTGACCTTCTGGGGCTGGCGACAGGACACCTACTGCCCCGTGGCTGATGTGATCCCTCTCACGGAAACCAGGGACCGGCCCCAGGAGGTGTTCATCCGTATCCAGCAGTACAGTGGGAAGCAGACTTTCTACCTTACTCTGCGCTATGGACGCATTCTGGACAGAGAACGATTCACCCGGGTGTTTGGGATGCTGGACGTGCCCAAGTAAACTACTAGGAGCTGGGTTTCCAGGTAGCCCTGGGCTGCCTGGATCTCTTAACAGGAAGGCTGAGGGTCAGGCGAGGCTGAAGAAGAGGAGTAGGCAGCTGGAGACTTTGCCAGGGCTCCTAGGAACATTATGGCGACCCCATGTGTGCAGAATAGAACTGTGCTCCATAGGGTGTTCAAGGCTGTGACCTTTCAGAAGCAGATCACCGGCCTTAGAGTTGCCATGACTCGAAATCGACTCGATGGGACATAATAACAGCAACGCAGGAACTTGTGTTATGGGATGAAGAAATTCATGAGGCAAAAGCTAGTAACCAGGTTTAGTAAAAAGGCCCTGTGTGCAAATTCTCACTGCACTTGTGTATGACATTCAGTCGGATAATGGCCAGAAGCTTCTGGTAAGAGCTGGTTCTTGGAGGAAGCTGTTTCACGTTCCCCCAAGCAGTGCACTGCTGTGGAATCAGAAGGCAGAACGGTGTGGCCAGGGAGCAAGGATTTGGAATCAAAGACTTGGGTCCTCTGAACCTTGGTTTTCACATCTGTAAAATGAGGAGTCCTGCCTGTCTCGTGAGCTGGGCGGGAGAATAAACAGTGTCAAAGTGCTTTGTAGACTCAACAGCCCTGAGCAAACGTTGAGCATTACATGAGAGGTTAGGGCCCTGTGAAAGGCCGCCGGGTGATCGGGGGATTTCCCAAGCCCCGTGCTCTTCCCCCTCGTGTGCCCAGCGTTCCCAGCAGCAGAAGGAACTGGTAGGAAGCCTAGGATGGGCCACATCTTCCCGGCAGGCTGGTAACTGCACACTGACTGGCAGGGGTGACATCCAAGCAAGCACAGCAGCCCCGTGGGATTTTGTTCACCACCCAGAGGTCTGAGGCTCCCACATTCCGAAGGTTTTGCCGTGTAATAAAGACCAATGAACTAGATGCTGATGTGCTGGGCGTTATTTTATAAACAAAAGCCAGTTAATAAACCAGTAACCAGTTTCCAACTCGGACTCATGGCAACCCCGGGTCTGTCAGAGTAGAATTGTGCTTCACGGGGTTTTCAATGGCTGATTTTTTTGGAAGCGGATCACCAGGCCTTTCTTCCGAGGCGCCTCTGGGTGGATGCGAACCTCCAACCTTTCAGCAGCCAAGTGCGTTAACCGTTTGCGCCACCCAAGTACTCCGTTAGACAAGTAAACATGGAATTACAAGTGTTGGCAAGTACAGTGAAAGAAGAGCGGGATGGTCTGAGGGAGACGAGCAGGAGGGGCCCTGGGGAAGGGACATTTAAGTGGGAGACCTGAGTGTGGTAGGAGGCAGACACAGCTTGTTTCAGGCCGAAGGAAAAGGGAGTGTGAGGTTCTAAGCTGGGGAAGAGCAGGAGCGTTTGTTTGCTAAGGAGGAAAGGAGGCGGCCTCTTTGGTGGGAGTGGAGGGAGGGAGGGGAAGGCAGGACCGGGGAGGATGCTGGTTTTATCCTAATCACTGTAGGAAGCTCTTGAAGGCTGGAGAAGGAGAGAGAGCAGGGGAAGAAAGTTTGGGAGTTTTTAAGAAAAGGGAGCACTACCTTTCTTGTCATTTTCATTCACGTCAGTGAAAGATGCAAATGAAGCGCACAGCCTTACTGATTTGTTTCAGCCGTTAAATTCCTGCCGGCTGTGAATTCCTGTCAACAGGAGCAAGGTGGGCTGGGGAGTGTGATGGGTGTCCTAGGATGTTCAGAGACACTGTGCACTCCCCAACACCCGGGTTTTCCTACATGGAGGGGCTGTGTATGTGGGGGCATTGATACGCTCCTCGCATGTAGTGATTCTTCAATTGTATTGAAAAAAAGAAATATATATATATATTTAAAAATTTTATTGTGGTAAAATGTGTAACAGACAGTTTGCCATTTTAACCCTTTTTCAGTGTACGATGCCGTGACATGAATCTCATTCACCGTGCGCTACAGTTACCACTGTCTGTTTCCACAAGTTTTTCATCACTGCAAACTATGTTATATATATTTTGCCACAATAATAATAATAAGAGTAAAAAGCAAATGGGTCTCAGCCTTGGCTCCCTGTGCAGAATCCCCTGGAGAGCTTTTTTAAAATCACCCAGGCGCAGGCGTTGCTGTGTGAAGGTTCCCCAGGTGGTGCTAATGTGCACGCAGGGTTGACAGTGGCCGACCTAAGGCATCACTACTTTTGAGCCTGCGAGGGATTTGCACTAGGTAAGAGCCCTGATTCTCACCAGCCCTGGCAGAACGGAGCCTCCACTTCGACGCGTGGTCTGCTCACATGGTGCCAGCAGAGGGCACACAGAGCAAATGCATCATCGTGTCCATTTAGTCCCGAGCTAAAATCACACATCTCCACGTGCTGAAGGGAAGTGGTCAGGGCTTCTGCAGGGCACCTTCAGGGCCGTGCCTGGTCCCTGCTCAAAACAACCTAAATCAACAGCAGCAAAAACAGTGAAAGTCGCCTTGCTCAACCTTTGTAGATTCTGGTAGAACCAGGTCATGTGTGTGTTATGCTTCTTCGATAATTCCAAGGCAGTCCAGGTATGGAGAATCACTCAAAGGGGATTTACCCTTCCCCAAAGCCGGGATGGGCTATAAAGCGGCTTTCTCAGAAAACAGAAGTCTTTAGATTTGGGTGGTGGATATATTGGCAATTCCCCCCTTAACAACAATTCCAAAGCAATTAGTAGAAAAACTCAGGTATATGAGCGTGTTCGCAGAAGTGTTTCTAATAGCAACAAAACAAACCAAACATACACGAAACCAAAACCGAAACATGGGACGCACACAAAATCCCGAGTGGAAATCGGTAGGTTTTCATTAGCAGGGGACACAGCTAAATGAATGATGGCGTCCCCATACTATGTGATCTATGTGGCCCTTTTAAAAGAATGATGTTGAACTACATCTGCTGATACGGAAAGATGACCATGGGTCGGTGTTAAGTGAAAAAAGCAAACCATGGAACAATGCAGTGTGATCTTGTGTTTAAAAAAAAAAAAACAACCAAGCATTCCAAACTGTTAACAGTGGTTGCCTTTGGGGAGAGGATTGAGGATGAAGGGGGCCCACCCAGGATGAGATAAAGACTTCTACTTTCCACTTTATAACCTAGTATTGTTGAAAAGGGAGCCCTGGTGGCACGGTGGTTAAGTGCTTGGCTGCTAACCGAAAGGCTGGCGGTTTGAACCCACCAGCTGCTCCATGGGAGAAAGACGTGGCAGTCTGCTTCCGTAAAGACTTAAAGCCTTGGAAACCTTAAGGGGCAGTTCTACTCTGTCCTGTAGGGTCACTATGAGTCGGAATCTACTTCATGGCAGTGGTTTTTTTTGGTTTTTAGTACTGTTAAAAGTTTTCATAATCAACATGTCATTCATCTTAACAAATGAAAAACAAATGCCCTTCCTCACCATGCCAGTTTTCTGGGCAAAGAGAAATTTTCTCAACCATGAACTCCAATTCTGGACCCAGATGCTGGGTAGATAGTAGGAAACATTTAGGCATTGAAAGCAGCCATGATATTTGCCCTTTGTAGAACGGCTTTCCTTCCTTTCTGCTGAGAAAAGCCTGAATTTGGGGCCACTCCCTACCCTGTAAACCAGAGGCCGTAGAGTCAACCCCAACTCATGGTGACCCCATGTGTGTCAGAGTAGACCTGTGCTCCACAGGGATTTCAATGGCTGATTTTTCAGGAGTAGATTGCCAGGCCTTTCTTCAAAGGCACCTCTGAGTGGATTTGAACCTCCGACCTTTCAGTTAGCAGCCAAGCACATGAACTGTACCAGCCAGGGACTCCCCACACCGTGGCTGTGCGGTTTGGACACAGGAGGTTGACATGGCCTGTGGTCTATCTGTTTCCATGTAATGGTCATCCGGACCGTGGTGAGGTCTGCTCGCAGGGTACAGTGCATGGCACACGGAAAGCACAGCCCGAATGGTAGCTGTTGGTCTTACTACACAAGTTACCAAAAATGAGACTTTTACCTTGTCATAGGCCAGATGTCCCCACCCTGCATCAGTTAATAACCATGCTTAAGGCACTCCCCAGATCAGATTTTATGGGCCCAGCTGCTTGTGCGGACAGCCTGGGATGAATTTAACAAGTGGCTGATGCTGGGAACTTTCCTTCTGTTGCTGCTTTATGACTTCAGAACCTGCAGGTCCCCAAGTGGAAAGTCCCAGGACCCCTTTGAACCCCAGGCAGAGTCCAACTTTTACGGCCTTGTTTTGATCCTGTGGCATTCGCCTATAATATCTTAACTGATTAGAGTTAATCAGGCAGGGCTGATCCCATCTGGCCACGTTTATACTGACTCTAGAGACAAAACATTCGTTTTACTGATAGACCACTGAAACATACTCCAGGATTCGTGTGGGCTTGAACTGGTGTTAGGAAGTAGACTTAATATTTACAAATGGGAACTTAACCCTGAAAGAAATACAGTGTTATTTAGAACTACCATATATTTACACAAATAACGCTGCCGTCTAAGTTTGTTTGCCAGCCCCCCCACCCCGGGGTATTTTCATAAGCATCGCTATGCTAATTTTTTGTTTTTTACAGCAACATGTGGGACACACTCAGCTATATGTGAAGTAGTGAGAGAAACTAACATATTTCAAAACAAAAAACCACAGGACAGCTGTGCTCCATAGGGTTTTTAATGGTTTGTTTTTTAGGAAGCAGACTGCCAGGCCTTTCTTCTGAGGCACTTCTGGGTAGACTCAAACCTCCAACCTTTCAGTTAGCGGCTGAGCCCATTGGCCATTTGCACTACCCAAGGAGTCCAAGAGCTATATATGGTTGTTGTTAGATGTCATCGAGTCTGTTCGGACTCACAGCAACCCCATGTACAACAGAATGAAATGCTGCCTGGTCCTGCGCTATCCTCACAGTCACTGCTGTGTTCGAGCCCATTGTTGCAGCCACTGTGTCAGTTCATAGGTGCTTAACAAATACTTGTCAAAGAATTATTGAACAAACAATTTTCCGACCCCAAAAAGGCCACATTCACTCTAATGTTTCCATTATAAATATATTTTTTTTATTTTAAGAATACTGATGAACACAGGAAACGGATTTAATTCACGGAATTGTGCGTATGGTCATCAGTTACATTGTGACAAGTGGTTAATTTCTTCATCATTTATTGGCACTGTCAACAGAATACTGTAAACAAGATCACTTCGTATGCGTGAGTTGGTGATGCTCCCTAGCTATGGTTTGCTACCATGAGCTGATACGTATATATATATGTATATACATATATATATATATATAGTTAGGTCTAGACATATAGATATATTAATGTTGTACACAATTTTGCATGGTTACTGAGTGTCAGTAAAAATTATAAAAAAACATCCATTTTTAATAAAAGTGAGGATGTACTAAGACTTGCGATTACTGGACCTTGTTTTCTGTAAAAGTGACAAGACTTGCTAGAGACGTTTACTGAAATTGATGGCACTGACGTATGATGGGGTCATTTCCAGACCGTTGGCCACAGAGGCTCTTCTTCAGGCTCTGCCCTAGACGGCGGCCTCTCCCCTGTGCTCCTTGTGTTCGCACTAGCCTCTTCCAAGTTTCTACATCTTGAGCTCTGCACAGAATCCTTTCCCTTGAATTCCTTCCACTCTACCCCTACTCCCAAAAGAGGATGTCTCAGGGACTCATTATGTCCTCAGTCAGTAAGAACTTGTTGATAAATGGCTTAACAATTTTCACGAGAAGTAACTTCTCTGGGTAAGGAGTGAACAGTGAGTCTGGAAATGGCTTTCCAGATAAAATGATTTCATTCCTCAGTCAATGCCCAGTGAGGAGAGAACAAGATACTGGAGCCACTCTCTCCACCTAAGACGTCTCTGGTTGTGCCCTGGCTTAAAAACCCTTTGAGACTCCAAGAACCTTACTAAAGGTTTGCACCCAGTGCTAAAGTTCTCAGAGAAAGAATACTTAAGCCAGTGAATGAATTATGGTTGGGTTTGCATTTTGTTTGTCTGTTAATAAGACCTTGAACCTTGGGATATTGCCTGTGGAATCTGGCTGCTGTCCCCTTTCAGCAACAGTCTTCCTTGCCTTGTCTGTTTGGTGAACTCCTGCCCATTCTGCAAAACCCTGCCCAAACATCACTTCCTCCCTAAAGCCTCCTCTGATTTCCTGATGCTCCTTGCATATACTTCTGTTTTAGCAGTTACATATACCTCTGTTTTAGCACTTGCCACTCTGCTTTACTTACTGGTTTAAGAGTCTGTTGTCCCTAGTGGGAGATGAGTCCCTTGATATATATAGCAGGGACTATATTTTTTTTTTTTATCTTTGCATCCCTACTGCTTAGCACAGGGCCTGGGATGGAGCAGGTATTTAATCAAAGTTTGATGACTGAAAGACTGAATGAATATACAAATGTGTGCAAACTTGCAGAGAGAGGGAGGCAGACATCTCCATTCAATGGCAGTGCAAACAGCCTTGGACATGGCCCCCTGTTGCCGTCGAGCTGATTCCGTCTCATAGTGACCCTATAGGACAGAGTAGAACTGCCCTATAGGGTTTCCAAGGAGTGGCTGGTGGATTCGAACTGCCGACCTTTTTGATTAGCAGCGGAGCTCTTAACCACTGCACCAGCAGGGCTGCTTTTGGACATAGCAGAACTCATTAAAAGCAACGGATTTGCACTGACGGCAGAATGCAGTGTGAACCGGAATTCATAGATCTATCCAAGTTTGTTAAACACGTGAGTGCCTTTCATTCCTTAACAAAAATAGGTCAATGACAAAATCCATTGAAGAGTGGAAGCTAAAAATAAAATACTTGGAGATCTTTGGATGATTAGTTATTAAAAAGTCCAAGTGCTGAATCAGGAGCCTTGATAGGCTCGTCTGCCATGATGGTCAGCCAAGGCAGCAGGATTGAAGTGCTCCCTTTTGGACAGAGAATAAAACCAGACTCTCTTAGGCTACTCACTAAACAAAACTTCATCGCTCTAGAACTGTTTAGAAGGAGGATTTGAGGTCAAATCAGTTCCAAGGACGTCTCGCCTCCAGCAGAGATACTTTAGCCTCAGCCACAGCCCAGTTCAGCATTTAAGTTTTGTCTGCCTGTAATCTGCACACTCAACTCAGGAAAAGCTCTCATTTCGTTTGGCAAGTACAAGAAAGCTACCCTGAACCATGCATGGGGCCGTAGTGCCTTTCACTCTTGAAGCTTAAAAAGAAATCTAGCCCAGCAACGGACTCTTCTGATGGAACAGCAAAGCTGTCCACAGGGCTCCCCAGAAGCTGAGCAACGGTGGGCAAGCAAAAGCTGGAGAAAGAGCCTCCCAGGTTGAAGGGTCAAAAACCAGCCCCGGGATGCCACTGGAGGCAGGATGGCGTGGCTGCTGCCCCAGGCCCTGGCTTACCCTCCCAAAGCAACAGGCACGTGAGCCTGACCCTTTGGCTCACGCATGTCCCCTGGTGCTCAGGCTGCAGCTTTCCTTCCATGGTCTAGGCTGACACTTAGCAGTGAGGACAAGCAGGTGAGAGTCTGGGGATAGGGGACGGTGATTAAGAACCCTGGGAGATGCCACTCAGAGATCCTCCAAGGGCAAAGGACGCCAAGGACAGTCACAGTTTAGAGCAATCTCCAGATGCACCAAGATGGCAGCCCTTCCCAAACCCCTAGGCTCGGTCCCAGTGTCCCCGTGTTACTGCTGTCACACGGTCTTTTCTGTCTCTCTCGACTGTGCATGGGATGTGCTCAGAGCTCCAGAGATGGGGTGAAAAGGTGAGATTGTGATTGTTTGCATAGGGCAGAGGGGAAGCCAGCATCCTTGATCACAGAATATGGCATTTGAGATGGACCGGAACCCAGGAGTCCTGGCCACCAGTCCCAGGAGCAGGTCCAATCCCCTTGACTGGCTTCCAAAGAAACCTGGGGTCAGAGGTGGGCAGAAATATGGACAGGGCCCCGACAGCCCTCCACAGAAGACACTGAGCAGGGCTTAAGCCGAATGTCTGGGCTTAAACCAATGTGCTCCATTGGCTCTGCAGGGAGGAAGGTCAAAGCCAGCCCCGCCCTCCCCTCCTCCCCTCCTCCCCTCCTCGCAAACCACCACCAACATCCCCTCCCCACAAATAACCCTTCTGTCTGTGCGTTCACCTCTGATACGTTAAGTGAAAACATGAATTGGGCAAACTAATCAATTTGACAACTGTTGAGATCAGGGCTTTCTCAGAGTGGAATGGAAATGGCTTCTTTACTTGAAGTCGGCTAAGATGTCGCTGAAAATATTGAGGAACAGATGCGCGTGGTGATCCCTGAAGACCATGGTAGGACGGAAACGGATGGATTTGTTGCCACAGCCCCCCAACACCACACCTGGAAGACGAGGCGGGAGGCAGGTTAGGAGCTTGGGCTCGTGGAGTCACACAGCGGTGAGCGCTGGAAGGGACGTTCGCTGCTAGTGGTTCCACTCCTCCATCCACGTATCATTCTATCCGTTCAGGCTTCTGTCTCTCTTTCCTTCCATCCAGCCACCCATCCTCCATCCCTGTCTCTCTCCCGTCATTCATCTCATCCACCATTCCCTCCCTCCCTCCCTCCCTCCCACACATCCAGCCACCTTCCTGCCTACGTTCCTTTCCACCTATCTACCTTGAAATCCTGCTCTATTGCCCCGGAACTAGGTCTACTGATAGAGGAATCCTGAGAGGAAGTCCTTGCCTTCCAGGAATTCATGGTGGGGTGGGAAAACAAAACTAGTAAACAAATACATTGCAAAAGCGTGGGCCGAATCAGAAGCATGGATGAGATGCGGCGCTGTCCCGGGCAAGGGGCAGATCCTGCTTATTTAAAAGGATACCATCACCATTTATTAGCTGGGTGTCCCTGTCTAGGTTGTTCAGCTCATTGCCCCTGCCCTCCAGGTCACTGTCAGGATTCCATAAGGTGGCACAAGAAAAGACCCGACACTGTGCTTGGCACTGATCTCTGACATTATTCCTGTTTAAAACTCCAGTGACTTCCCACAGCTCTCAGGAGGAAGTCCTGCCTCTGCAAGCTGGTCCGCCAGGCCAGGTGAGGTGGGCCTAGCATCCCCTCCCCACCTCCAGCTTCCTCCCCTGCCAGTCTGTTGTCCTCCCTCAGCCCGCTCCATTCTTTCCATTTTCAACACCTCTATAAGCCCTGTAGGAGCCCTGGTGGCGCAGTGGTTAAGAGCTCAGCTGCTAACCAAAAGTCAGCAGTTCAAATCCACCAGCCGCTCCTTAGAAATCCTATGGGGCAGTTCTGCTCTGTCCTATAGGGTTACTATGAGTCGCTATCAACTTGATGGCAATGGGTTTTTCAGATATAAGCCCTGTAAGGAGCCCTGGTGGTGCAGTGGTTAAGCACTCAGCTGCTAACCTAAAGGTCAGTGTTCAAACCCACGAGCCACTCCGTGGGAGAAAGATGTGGCAGTCTTCTTTCTTAAGGATTAAAAAAACCAAACCCACTGCTGTCGAGTCATGGCAACCCCATAGGGTTTTCAAGGCTGTAAATCTCCAAGGAAGCAGACTGCCACATCTTTCTCCTATGGAGCTGCTGGTGGTTTCAAACCGCGGATCTTTCAGTTAGCAGGTGATCCTTTAAGGATTTAAGGATTAAATTTAAGGATTACAGCCTTGGAAACCCTATAGGGCAGTTCTACTCTGTACTATAGGGTCACTATAGGGTCGCTATGAGTTGGAATTGACTTGACAGCAATGGGTGTGGTTAACAGGTTTATAAGCCCTGTAAGAAGCCCTGGTGGTGCAGTGGGTAAGTGCTTGGCTGCTAACTGAAAGATTGGTGGTTTGAACCCAGCAGCCACTCTGCAGAAGAAAAGACCTGGCGATCTGCTGCTATAAAGCTGACAGCCTAGGAAATCCCACGGGACAGTTCCGCTCTGTCACATAGGGTGACTTGATGGCACACAGTGACAATGATAAGCCCTGCGCTGCCTGTGGTCATTGCACATCTCCTCCCTGCCCTAAATGCTTTCCCGCATCATCACCTGGCCAACCCCCATTCATCCTCCAAACTGAACGTAAAAGGCTGTTTCCGAAAGGAAGCCTTCCCTGACTTTCTGGTCTCAACGGTTTCCCCAGCTGGTCACCCTCTTAGCCCGGTTTCCTCGTCCCTAGGACGTAACCATAACTGCAATTGATTATGGATGAGATGCTGTGTTTAATATCACCCCCTCCTGCTAGACCGTAAGCTCCTTGAAGGAAGGGACCCTGGTGGTCTTGTCCATCATCGTGACTCTTAGTGCTGGCCCATGCATGTTCCCCGTGAGTATTTGTTGAATGAATGAATGTATAAAGGGATCTCACTGGTCTAAAGAACACTCCCGCGGACCACCTGACCCCTGTACTTAACCATATCCAGCATGCACGCTGTGTGATGCTGGGCACTTGAGGAAGCTCGGCTCCCACTTCTGGCCCCTTACCTTTGTTTCTGGCTATTAAAATGAGTTTATTCCGTATGGATTCATCTGGAGTGTCAAAGGAGCAGAAGGTGCCTCGTCCTCTCGCTCGGCTGATGAACTGAGGGTACCGGGCCTGCAATGGAGGTGGGGCAAAGCCAGGGTCGACACCTGCCGTCTGTGGTCTAGTCGGGTCCAATGGGGGGAGTTCCTCCAGTGCCCTCCTCTGACCTCCCAGCAGTCCCCACCCAGGCTTAGCAGAGTAACATTTGTGTGTGGGGGGGGTGTGTGGTGGACAGAGCAAAGACGAACAGTTATAATGGAGAGCTGAGCTGTTCAGTGAGGTAGCCATGAGCCACACACACCTGTTGAAAAGTGGTCACACTGGGTCCAAATGGAGGTGTGCTGTAAGTGTAACATACACACCGGATTTGGAAGACTTAGCATAAGAAAAAGGAGCCCCAGGGGCACAACGGTTAAGCACTTTGCCGCGAACCAAAAGGTTAGCGGTTCAAACCCACCCAGCAGCTCCATGAATGAAAGACCTGGTGATCTGCTCCCATAAAGATTACGACCTAGAAAATCCCATGGGGCAGTTCTACTCTGTCACACGGGGTCACCATGAGTCGGAAATCAACTCGATGGCACCCAACAACAGTAAGAGTATAAGAAAAAGAATGTGAAATATTGCGTTAACTATTTTAACATTAATTATGTGTTGAAATTCTGGATATATTGGGATAAGGAAATTATTAAAATTAATTTTACTTTTAAGATGGCCAGTAGAACCCTGAAGATTGTGTATGTGTTCGCATTCTATTCCTACTGGCCAGGGCTGCCACAGAGGGACAAGTACAAGGTGGTACAGAGGTGGGAGTAATTAACATACCATCGAGGGTGACAGGGACGTGTGTGGGGAGGCTTCTCAAAGGAGGGACGTCAAAGTTGGTTTTCAAAGACCAGCGGAGTTTGGGAACTGGGC